CCAGCAATTGTGGGGATAGGGTGGGTGGAAGATATTGAAAATTTGATCAATCTAACAAATGGCAAAAGTCGAAGTAAAAATAAAAGCAAAGAAAAAGGGATGGTAAACTGAAAATAGTAAGATGTATCACAAGTACAGATGTATCACAATCAAGTGGTCAGACTTAATGGTGTTCCATATTTAAATACACTCATGTTATAAATATGTATATTTTTTGGTCAACTTTTAGTGTTTTAGTCAACTTTTGGTCACTGAAACCAAAATACCCAACAAGAGCAACTTAGAGGAGGAAAAGTTTATTTTGGACTCATGGTTTCAGAGGTCTCAGTCCATGTTGGTGGACATCGATGCTCTGAGCCTGAGGCCAGGAGGAAGGAGGAAAGCTGCTCATCTCATGACTGCAAGGATGCAGAAGAGAGTAGTCAGGAGGACAATATATGATCCCCAGGGATACGCCCCCAAAGACCTCTGTTGCCTTCAGCCATACCTCATCTGCCTATAGTTAACTACCCAGTATAGTGGTAATTTCAAATTATTGATGTGCTGATTAGATTACAGCTATCTTAATTATTTAACCTCTGAATATTCCTACATTAACACAGGAGTTTTGGAGGACACCTCATATCCAAACCCTAACAGAGTTAATTTTTATTTCCTTACATGTTTTCAGAGACTTTGTTTATATTCTGGATCCCGTGTTAGCTCATCTGCTCAAGGATTTTGTTCATGTGATTATCGTCTTTTTTTTTTTTTTTTAAGAGAGAGTGAGAGAGGGAGAGAGAGAGAGAGAGAATTTTTAATATTTATTTTTTAGTTCTCGGCGGACACAACATCCTTGTTGGTATGTGGTGCTGAGGATTGAACCCGGGCTGCACGCATGCCAGACGAGCGCGCTACCGCCTGAGCCACATTCCCAGCCCCGAGATTATCGTCTTAATGTATTATATACACCAACATTTATCCCCCTGTACTTCATCACTCTCACCTGTATATCAAATACAATCAACCTTTTCTTGATTCCTTTTTCCTCTCCTGTTGAAAGTCTAGATACTTCTTTTATTCCTACTCTTCCAAGTTTATCAAAAAGTTCCAATGATCTTCATGTCACTATTAACACGATTCACTTCTAACCTCTTATTTTTTTAAAATAGATTTTCTATACCTATTTATTTATTTATTTATTTATTTTTATGTGGTGCTGAGGATTGAGCCCAGTACCACACATGCTTGGCGATTGCCCTACCACTGAGCTCTACCATGACCCAGCCCCAACCTCTTCTTTTTTCCCCATGAGAAAAATAAACAAATACCTACTTATAAATCTGTTTATTTATTTAGTACTGGGGAACAAACTCAGGGCCTCACACATGCTAGGTAGGTGGGCTACCACTGAGCTAAATCCCTAGAGGATTGCTAAATTGCTCGTGCTGGCCTCCAGCTTGAAAATCCTTCTGCTTCAGCTTCCCAAATAGCTAGTATTACAGTCATGTACCACTATGCCAGCTTAAATCAAATATTATTTTAAACATAAATATAGGAAAGTGGTTAAGAGTGTAATCTAATCAAAATGCCCTGGTTTTCAATCCTGACTGTGTCTTGTGTTTCAAGTACTAGCTGTTTGACTTTGGGGGGAAGTTATGACCTCTCTGTGCTTTGGTTTCTGCACAAGACTTATCTCTTGATTTATGACTTATGTCAAAGTGATTTTCTGCTGGTTAAATGAAATACACATAAAGCACACAGGAAAACACATGACGCATGTTACATGCTGAGTAAATGTTAGCTGTGATTATACTCTGAAAAAAATTTTTATTATTGAATGAGAATATAATTTTAGCCATTTTATTTTACTTTGCAGTACTGGGAATCAAACCTAGGGCCTTGTACATGCTAGGCAAGTGCTCTACTATTGATCTATATTCCCATCCTCAGGATATAAATTTTAATAAAGGAAAATGTTTTAAAATTTTTTACAGGTGTAATATTTGATACAGGTATACTATAATATCATTTTATTTGTAAGTCAGAAAATAAAATCATTATCTTATAATTTATCACTCAGCCTAACAACTTTCCTTTTTTTTTTTGGTACTGAGGATTGAACTCAAAGGCACTTAACCACTAAGCCCCATCCCCAGTCCCTCCCCCTTTTTAAAAAAATATTTTATTTTTTAGCTATAGGTGGGCACAATATCTTTATTTTATGTTTATGTGGTGCTGAGGATCGAACCCAGTGCCCCACGCATGCTAGGCGAGCACTCTACCACTGAGCCACAACCCTAGTACCCCCCCCCCCCCGCCCCTTTTTATATTCTGTTTAGAGACCAGTTCTTGCTGAGTTACTTAGGGCCTCACTAAGTTGCTGAGGCTAGCTTTGAACTTGCGATCCTGCTGCCTTAACTTCGTAACACACTGGGATTACAGGCATGTGCTATTTGATCACATTCTTCTCACATCTCCATTTGTCCTGTGTATTTCTGCCATCCTGATTCTTGTGTTTAAGTTCCTTGATTTAAAAAGGGGGGAAGGGGGTGCTGGTACTGTAGCTCAGTGGTAGAGCCCCTGCCTTGCACACTTGAGGCACTGGATTCAATCCTCAGAATCATGTAAAAATAAATAAATAAAGACATTGTGTCCATCTACAACTAAAATTATTTTTTTAAAAAGGCAGAGAATATAGCTTTGCATATTTTTATGCATGTCAGACTATTTAGTTTTGTCTGTTTTCAACTTGGTTGTGATAACTTATTGTATGATTTTTTCAATAAATTTTGTTGCTAAGATTTATCGTAACTATTGGTGTATGTGTGTGGTTTATTGATTTTCATGGAGATGGTTATAACCTGCACTGATTTAAACACAGTGTTTAAATCACTGTGTGATTTAAATGAGTTGATATTTGTAAAGTGCTTAGATAGCATTTGGTACATAGTAAGGGCCTAAAGAAAGATAACCATATCATGTTTATTATTTTTCATTGCTATATGAGGTGATATATGAATACAACATGATTTGTTTGTGTATTCTCTTATGGATGAGCATTTGGGCTGTTTAACACAGAAAAGAATACTTCTCTGAACATTCACATACCTCTTGTGCCCTTGTGCAAGGGTTTCTTGAAGCCAGATATATTGACCTAGAAGAATTGCTGTATTATAACGAATGCTTATGTTCAATCATATTAGATAATGCCAACTTTTTTTTAAATTGGTTGTTCACAATGTGCCAACTTTTTTTTAGTAAATATTTTTTAGTTGTAGTGGACACAATACCTTTATTTTTATGTGGTGCTGAGGATCAAACCTAAGGCCTTGCACATGTTAGGCGAGCGCTCTACCGCTGAGTCACAACCCTAGCCCCAACTTTTTTTTTTTTTTAAACCAAGGTAATTGTGCCTATATATTTATCAGCAGTGGGTTCTGTTTCCTCCTACCTTTACTGACATTAGGTAGTATCATTGTGTTACTTAGGTTTTCATTGCTGTGTGACCAGAATACCTCACCAGAACACCTTAGAGGAGAAAAATTTATCATGGGCTCATGGTTTCAGAGGTTCAGTCTATGGTCAGTCAGCTCCTTTGTTCTGGGTCCAAGCTGAGGCAGAACATCAAGGCAAAAGTGTTTGGTGGAGGAAAGCTGTCAGTTTATCGAAGCCAGGAAGCAGAGAGAGAAGGTGAGTATCCAGGAGGACAGGTTATAATCCCCAAGGGCACACCCCCCAGACACGTATTTTTTTTCAACCATGCCCTATCCACCTATAGTTACCACCCAATATAGTAGTCCTTTCAAGTTACTAATTCATCAAATGGATTAGTCCATTGGTTAAGTTGTAGCTCTTATAATCTAATTGTTTCACCTCTTGCATTAACAGCAGCAACTCATGTCTAAACCCTAATGGTCATGTTTTTACTTTTCCTAATCTGTGGTTGTAAAATGGCATTCTGTGTTTCATTTGGATTCTATTAATAATGAAACACTCAGGTTTTAATAAATTTTCTAGTTATTTGTATTTCCTTTTCTGTGCAAGTTTATTCACATTATTTTCTAGTGTGCTGTCTTTTTCTTATTGATCTGTGTAAGTCTAAACATTCTTTATTCTAGGGGCTGGAGTTGTGGCTCAGTGGTAAGAGCACTTGCCTAGCATATGTGAGGCCTTGGGTTTGATTCTCAGCATTACATATAAATAAATGATTAAAATAAAGGTTCATCAACATCTGAAAAAATTTAAAAAAAAAAAACATTCTTTATTCTAATCCTTGTCAGTACTATTTGTTGGAAATATCTTCTTACAGTTTGAGATTTTTTTCTTTCTTTTTTCTTATTTTTAATGGAATCCTTTGATGAATAGATTTCTGAATTTTAATTAGCAGTATGTGTCCATTTATGATAAAAATATTCTCTGTTGTCACCATAAGGCTATAAATGCACTAATATTTAAGCAGTTAATTGACCTGGAATTTCCTTTTGTCTATGGTGGGATTCCAGTTTCATTTAAAAGAAAATTCACTCATAAAAGTGAGTGATGGAAGATTAAACAGTTGTCTCAAGCCTTTATTAGTCATCTTTTCTACATTGAATAATGTCTCTAGAACTGTTTTAAGTGGAAAGACTCTGTATGTTTGTTTTGTTTCTTATTTTATAGGAATGTATCTAAACTTTTACCATTGAATACAGTGTTATATGTTTGTTTTTCGATTGAAAGAAATTTCTTTTGTCCTTGTTTTCTAATAGGGTTTGATATTTGTACGATACTGAATTTTATTAAGTGCTTTTTCTTTAGTTTGTGAAATGATTTTATAGTTTTTCTTCTTTGTTAATGAGGGGAATAAATTGCTTTTTAATGTTTAACTACTTTTTATATCTTAGAATAAATCTAACACAGTCTAAGATATTTTTTATCTTTTTTATACATTGCTAGATTCATTGGGCTAATATTAATTATGCTTATAGGTTTGTGTATGAAAGTACCTTTAATGTAAACTTGTTTAATAAACTTTACAGCAGAAAATATTGGCGCAGAACTCAAAGCCCCACTTAAGCAAGAACCTCTCCAAGTAAGAGGTAAATATATTTTATTCTATATTTTTATTTTATTGATGATTTGAGTTAAATATATAACATTAACTTATGGAGATTTTTATAGTTATATTATTTTAAGAGCAATACTTCTATTTTGCTTTTATTTAAATAGATTGACCATAAGAATTTATTCTATTTAAAAGCTTATTTTCTACAGAAGTTTATTTTGCATGTTGGCCAACATCTTCAGCTACATCTTTTTCAAATTCTGGTAGAGTTTGGCCATTCTTGTATGTCTTTTCTTGGAATAATTGAGTTCTGAGGAATTTGTTTGCAGCTCTGTTATGTGAAACAGACTGTTGGTTCCCATCTCCAAAGCAGCTGTTTTGTGGAGGTATCTCTTTGTGATTAGGAGCACTATGATTTTGGTGTCAAACAAAACTTGGTTCAGTTTGTAACTCTTGAGTTTATTAGTTATTTGACTTGGGCAGTTTGACTTATCTGAGCCTTAGTTTTCCCTCCTATAAGATGGCAATAAAAAATGAGACCTCTAAGCTGGGTATAGTGGTGCACACCTGTAATCCCAGAAGCTTGGCAGGCTGAGGCAGGAAGATTGAGAGTTCAGAGCCTCAATAAAAGCAAGGTGCTAAACAACTTAGTGAGACCCTGTCTCTAAATAAAATACAAAATAGGGCTGGAGATGTAGCTCAGAGGTCAAATGCCTGAGTTCAGTACCCTGTACCAAAGAGAGGGGGAGAGAGAGAGACAGAGAGAGAGAGAGAGAGACAGAGAGAGATCGATCTAGCTGGGCACAGTGGTGCTTGCCTATAATCCTAGCAACTTGAGTGGCTGAGGCAGATTTGAAGCCACCCTCTCTGCAACTCAGTGAGACCCTGGCTTAAAACAGAAACAAAAGAAGGCTAGGAATGTAGTTCAGTTGGTAAAATGAGCCTGGGTTTAATCCCCAGTATCAGAAAAATAAACAAACAAACAAAAAAATAAATAAGAGACCTCTTTTTTAGGGTAACTTGGGAAAATGAATAATCGGTATCAAAATAGCAGTATCCCAATGGGATGATGTTTCCCTTTTCTCCTCCCTCATAATCACATCCTTCATGGTATGGTATCAAGATTCCCATTTACAGTAATTTGGGTCATGATAAACAACAGGAATTTCTAGATATTTTGAAAGAATTTAGAAAAACAATAAAAAAACTGAATCTTCTAAACTGAGATGTGATTTTGAGTTTTAGGGTTATTAGAGCAAAGCAGCTTAGACACCTGGAACTTAGGCAAAAAGAAGTCTAAATTTCCTTATATACTTTTCTCAGGTAAGGTTCTGGGTTTTTGTTTGTTTGTTTTTAAAAATATTCTTATTTTTAAATTTAATTTTAATAGTTAATGGATTATTACAGGAGTGTTTTTGCCCACTGAAGTGATTGATAATTTTAGGTTTGATTGTGTTCTTTCAATTTGGAAGTAGAACAGAAAACTAGGAATCACTAGATAAGAATATAGAATATGAAGTAAATAAGTGACAATTTGAAATGGAGCTTATGAGGAATTTTTGTTGTATTGTTCTGGCTTTTTTAGATGTTTGCTTAAGTTATTTATTTTTGTCACATGTCTAATAAAAGTCTTGCTTTCTAAGGACTTGCTAACTTAGAAGAATGTGTAATTTTTAACTCACCAACCATACATAATTAATGCCAGATTGGTATCTTGTTATCGATGTCTCTGGCCATTTTTTACTTTTTATTGCAGTTTTAATACTTGATAATAGGAAATTTACCATAAGTTTTAATTGATAAAATTGTTCCTTAGTTTACTTCAGTTTTCACAGTTTACAGTATGTGAAATAGTCCAGTGTCTTTAAACATTTTTGACTGCAAGTCAAACTACTCCTTAACCTAGAAGACAGATTTTTATACATAACTGAATCAAACTTCACAAAAGTACTTATTCTTAAATATATTAAATATTCTTCATTTACATTCTATTTTGACTTTATAAAATGCTGGTTTGTCCCACAGTTTGAAAACACTGAACTAGACTATAATTTTTTCAATTGAAACTTTATTTTTAGTTAGACCCTAAATAACTTAATTGTTTCCATGTTTTAGACAGTTCAGTTTCACAGCTACAAGGTATTCATTAGACAAAAGGTGGGCATTTGAATATAAATTACAAATGAACTATGGAGATAAAAACTGGGATGGCTACAAGTGCAATTCTATCCTATTCTGCACTTGGATATTTTTTTTTTTTTTCTGATGCCATTTGGTGCATCAGGAAAATGATAACTTCCTATGGAATTTATTAGTGAGACCACTTAAGAATCAACATGTATTCTTCAAATATGACTTTCAATGTGCATACTTACATATTTTTCTATGTTTTTGATTTAGTCAAAGCAGTCCTTAAAAAAAGGGAATATGGATCAAAATACACTCAGAATAATTTCATCACTGGAGTCAGAGCAATGAATGAGTTCTGCCTTAAGCCCAGGTACAATATATTTTTTTTAAATGTAGTATTGCGCCCTATCTAAACAATCTGGCCATATTTTTCTTACAGTGTGTTACCTGCTACTATCCATATGTGGAAAATTTCTCCTTGGTTCGTCCTAAATTGAAGAAATATTTTTGTTTCAAAAATGTTAAAATTATTAGCACCAGGAATTGTTGTGCACACCTGTAATCCCAGTGACTCAGAAGGCTGCGGCAGGAGGATTGCGAGTTCAAAGCCAGGCTTAGCAACTTAGTGAGGCCCTAAGCAACTTAGCAAGACCTGTCTCAAAATAAAAAATAAAAAGGGCTTGGATATAGCTCAGTGGTTAAGTACCACTGGGCACAATCTCTATTGCCAAAAACAACAAAAAAAATTTCAAATTATTAACTTACTAAACTGAATTCTGCCCTAGCATGAGCAAATTCAGACTTTCTCAGCTTCTTAAATTCACAAAGGCAAGTTTTCCAGAACCTCTGTATCACCAAAGAATCTATTGTTATGGTTTGTTGAAATTGTATTTGTCACAGATTTCAAACTTTCTCCCTCCTTTGTGGGCTAATTGGAGAAACAAAATGATGTATCCCTTTTCCATCCCCTGTAGTATAGTATCAAGAAATAAGTATTCCTATAATACATTTCATAACTTTCATAATCATTAATATAACTGATTATAACATTGATGTAAAACTATATTTTTTGACATAGAGTATTTCATTTGGTTCTCACAGAAATTTTGTGAATTAATTGAATCAGGTATTGCTATCACACATTCTAGACTAAGCTTATTTAGTGAATCAGTAATAGAGAGTGAGTTAGAATGTATATTTTTTCAATGCCTGGCCCAAATATTTTTACTAACATGTTGTGGCTGTTCATTTGTTTTAAATTTAGATTTAATTTCTAGAACTTAATGACGTTCTCTAGTCACCAATTTTTATTTGTAGGTTTTTCCATTGCTATTACAAAATTTCCTTAGGAAGACCAGTGATTAAATATAAAATATTTAACAGTGACTTGATGAATATGTAAATTTCATCAAATAAATTTGTACTTGTAAATTTTTAATTTAAATTCTTACAGGATGATACTCTAAGCCATATTCTTTTCACTTTTAACTTTTTTTTCATACTTTAAAGATTAGCAGTGGTGTGCCCATAAACAAAAAAATACAAACATCTACAAGGAAAATGAATTTCTACACATTATGCTCTGATGTCTATACTGACCATCAAGAATAATTCTTTTCTTTTTTCTTTTCACTGTCTAAAGACCATTTTTATATATACGAATGCCACCTTTAAACCTGTCTTCAAAGCTATGAAGTATATTCTTTTAAGATGAGGAGCAGTATAGTTGTTTTTGTCTGCTCTTAGTAATCCTTTTCTCCCTCCATTTATTTATTTATTTCAATTATAGCTTTATGGTTATATATAGTAGTTGGGTTCATCCAGAAAAACTCATACATACATAGAAATCAGCTTCAGTTCATGATCTCCCCTTTTCTGTCCTGCCTTCCCCCCTGCCTTCCTTTCTCCTTCCTCTACTAGACTTTCTTTGATTGGTTCTTTATGTGATCTTATTCTTTCCTCCCCCTTTCCTTTATTTCACTCTAGCATCCACATATGAGAGAACACATAGTAATCCTTTTAATCTATAAACAGTATGCACTTTAAATAAATTCAACATGTTTCTTTCTTCAGTGATCTAGAACAGCTCCGAAAAATCAGACAACGAAGTCCCCATGAAGATACTGAGTCCTTTACTGTATACTTGAGATCAGATGTGGAGGCAAAGTAAGATCATGTGTCTTTTTTTTTTTAAGTATTTATTTTTTAGTTATAGTTGGACACAATACCTTTATTTTATTTATTTTTATGTGGTGCTAAGGATCGAACCCAGGGCCTTGCACATGCTAAGTGAGTGCTCTACTGCTGAGCCACAATCCCAGCCCAAGATCATATGTCTTTTAGAATAAAAATGAAGCCAAATTTGGGATTAATAAAAACACATTTCAGATAAATTCAGGATTTTTTAAATGACATATTTTGGAATAGAATTTTATATTTCCTAAATTTTTACTAGTATGTACTAGTTACCTAAATATATGACAGAATTTATAAGAAAATTTGTTGTTGAGGTTACTCTTATTATTTAGATTTAATTAGAAAAGTTCCTTAAGTGTGTATTTTTCCAAAAAGACCTTATGCATTGTTGAAAGATTCTCATATTGTTGATTTAGATTTAAATATAATTACAGTAAAGTCCTTAAAATAGTTCATTGGTGATGACAATGTTTTTATGTAACAGATCCTTGGAAGTTTGGGGAAGCCCTGAAGCTCTTGCCAGAGAGAAGAAACTGCGTAAGGAAGCAGAAATCGAATACAGAGAACGTAAGTATATTCAACTTAAAGCTAAGTTAATTAAAAAGTAATTTGGGGGGCTGAGATTGTAACTCAGTGTTAGAGTGCTTGCCTAGCACATGTGAGGCACCGAGTTCAATCCTCATCACCACAGAAAAATAAATGAATAAAATAAAGGAATTGTATCCCTCTGTAATGAAAAAAATATATATATATTTTAAAAAGTAATTTGTTTGTAAGAATTATGTTTGTGATAACTCTACACTCTTTAGTGCTGGTATATCCTGTGTCTTTGGCTTTATTGGTTCCAGCAAACACCTGTTTTCCTTTTGGGTTTTAATTTATGAAAAACTGGATCTATTTTTTTTTTCTTGATAGCTTTTTAAAGATGATGAGAGGAAGAGAAGCCACAGTTTGTGGTTTTCATAAGTTAAAGGACTGTTAAAACTTATTTGATTTAAAGATTATACTTGTGATAGAAGTAACAGAATAGAAGATACCTGCTTTCTTACAGAAAGGTCTATTAACTCAACTACCATGTTAATTAATTCATTCAGTAGATATTTATTAAACACCCACAAGAAGCTGTGCTTGGTGCTTGAGATACAGATACAGATAAGACTCTGAGGTTACTTAACAATGTAGTAGTTTAGTAACAAAATAACTTTAGAGTTTAGATTTAGGATAAGGTAAAATATGTCTTAGAGAATTGATTAATTTACATAAATATGTATTATTAATGATAAAAGGGACACAAGTATGATTAAAAATGAATAAAGAAACAAAAAGAATAAGGTGACTCCTTTCATTTTCTATAATATTCTTTTATTTACCTGCCAGAGATGACTGTTGTTGACAGTTTGGTGTATATCTATTTCCATTGCATTTTTAAATTTATATATACCTATGCTTGTGCATTTTATTCTTTATAGATGTCAGTGTAATAACTATTTTTCTATATTTAGAAATATATATTATTTATCTTTAAAAAGCTGAGTGGGATTCATGTTTTACAATTTTTTTTTTTTTTAACTTTATAAAGAAGGCATTGGTGGCCAGGTATGGTGGTGCATGTTTGTAATCACAGTAGCAACTTTTGTTTTTTTAATATTTTTTTAGTTGTAGATGGACACAATACCTTTATTTATTTATTTTTATGCGGTACTGAGGATCAAACCTAGTGCCCTAACCCAGTGCCTCGTACATGCTAGGCAAGTGCTGTCCCACTGAGCCACGGCCCCAGCCCCATCCTAACTTATCAAGATCCTATCTTAAAATAAAAAGGGGGGTGTGGAGGATGCTGGGGACATGGCTCAGTGGTTAAGCATCCCTAGCTAAGTTCAATCCCTGGTACCAAAAAGAAAAAAAGAATATGAATACATTGGTGAATTATTGAATGTCATCTGACTTTTTCCATTTTTTTTTTCTTTTTTGTGGTGCTGGGAATTGAACCCAGTGTCTTGCACATGCTAGGCAAGAGCACTACCGCTTGAGCTATATCCCTAGCCCATCTTATCTCCCCCAACTTCCACTATTTTTTTTTTTTTACACATGAGACAATTGTGAATATTTATATAGAACTGTTAATAACAGAATTTTAGGGTCAAATTTCATATGGAAATTTTAAAATTTGATTGATCCTGAAGAATTATTCTTGAGGTTACTTCACACTCATAGAGTATGACGGTGCCTGTTGTACCCTTGTCAATGCTACATACTAACAGTATTTTAACTTTTTGTGCATTGATTGGTAGCAGATGACACTTGTTTAATTTTGAATTTCTCTGGTTACTATTGAGGTTGATTATCTTTTAATCTGTTTACATTTTCTTTTCAGTTATCTGTTAGATTGTGTGTCTTTTAAAAATCTTTTTAGCGAGCTTTGGTGGCTTTTAACACAGTTATAAATGTTCTAAATATGAAACATTCTGACTTCAAAATTTATTTTGCCTTTTCCTTTTTAGTGGGGAAATTTCAAATATATTCAGAACTATAGAGGAAAGTATAGTGATCCTTCACGTATTAATAACCTAGCTTTACAGTTATCAATACATGGCCAACTTGGTTTCTCTCTTATGAGCCCTCATCTTACTAGATTACTTTCAAATCAGTTCCAGAAACTGTTATCTTTTCATCTGTAAATATTTCAGTATATACCTCTAAAGGTCAGGGTGTTTGTTTTAGTCACTTTGTGTGATGGCAATGGTTGAACTGTTTTACAAAGGTTACCCACTGCTTGCTAACCTGTCAGTCTTAATAATCCTCTCAGTTGGCCCTTGGTTGAAGTTCCAAGGTACTCTCATATAGCTTTAATTCTGTTAAAGAAAGTGTGTGACCTTCTGCAGCTGATTTCTTTTCTTGTCAAAATTGAAAACATTTATATATCTTTTTAGCCAGTCCAGTTGGGAGGAATAAGGAATATATGTGAGATACTTGTGGACCGGAATATGTAGTAGTCACTTATCTACATATTGAATGTAGATTTTCTTGCAAAATCCAAATCCTTTAAGTCATTGGTTGGTTTGGCATTTTAAAAAGTATCAAAGGAGTAAGTGAATCCAAGTATCTAAGAGCTTTTGGTGTTTCAGAAGAAGCAAACAGTTGTATGCTGCACCTAACAGTCACAGAAGTGAAACACTTAATTTCAGTGGAAGAAATACATATTGGGGTCAGATAGCACCAGAAATTTTGATATTCTCTTAAGTTATTGGGATTTTTTAAATAGGTACTATTGATACTGGTGGGGTGTCTAGTAGGGGGTTCAGGTTCTTGGCATCCTGGACAAAGAATTGAGCAAGTCTGTAGAAGTAACAGGCAGAGCATGTATTTTGTGAAAATGAAAGTTAATATTCATTAGAGTGAGTGGAGTGGGCTCAGCCGAAGAGACTGGCTCAAGACCCCAATATTTGGGCAAACCTTGTCTTATATCGTGAGCTGTGCTTCTATGTCCTCTCCATACAGACCTGGTTGAAGTACTTGTCCCATTTGTTCCCTTTGGTTACTTTATTTTCACCTAATTAGAATACAGAACCTGTTGCAGGAATTGCCATGGGCAGTAAACCCTTACTGGCAGGGAGTTGTTGTGGTAATGGGATGTATCTTAAACAGGGTCATGATGACTCATTGGGTCTTATACTCCAGCCAGCATTTTTTCTTGTACCCCCATCTCCACCATCTTTACATTCCTTAACACATACCTCAATACTGAGCTAACATGGGATATGATCAAATGTTGTTTGATTTGGGAACAGCATCAATAATTATTTTAAAAACAAGGCAAATAAATTATTTTGAGTGGATTCCTTGTCTCTTGGTAAGTTGACAGATGTTACAGATGGTTACAGGTGCTGCTTAGTCTTTGTTATTATCTTTGTTATTTAAGAAGTCAATACTAAGTCAGTGCATTTGAAGAATTATCTTTATGAATGATTTTTATGGAACTATAGACATTACTATTTTTAAAGATGTTAAAATACCAATTCTGTAAACCTGAAGTAGAATGTGCCAAGATGTGTATAGCTGATGTTGATAAAAGTCTGTGTGGAGCAAGAAAAGCCTTAGTTGAACCAATTTACATTTATCACTAGGTTTGCATAAAGTATTTGTCATTAGTATGTACTTTGCAGAAAATACCTAAATCTTTCATTTGTTATTAGGTCAGCAGTATCAACTGTGAATTTTATTCACTCTTGTGATCTTAGCTATTGTCACTCTTCTGTGAATTTTTCATCACATTAGCTCATTATTCTGATTTACCCCCTACCCTTGTCATTTCAGTGGTTTGTCAGATTAACCTCAAGTTTTTGATCTTGGGATTAAATATTTCAAGATTGAAATTTTTCTAAATAAGAAAGCCCACCCAAAAGAAAATAAAAGAAAGTCCACGGGGCTGGGGTTGTGGCTCAGCGGTAGAGTGAGACCCTGGGTTCGATCCTCAGCACCACATAAAAATAAATAAGTGAAATAAAGGTATTGTTTCCAACTACAACTAAAAAAATAAATATTAAAAAAAAGAAAAAGAAAAAAGAAAGCCCACCATTCATCACTATTACCAATCACTGAATAACTTTGAAAATTAGCCTTGTGACAGTCTTGAGATTTCTTAATGCATTCATTGTAAATGCATTAAGGTAAAACAATTCTTAAATATGAAACTTATTTGTTAGTAAAGTCATTTCACAACAGATTCATTGTTTAAAGTATATGTAATGTTAAGCTGCTTTATAGACTTCTATACTGTTTAAAGCTAAACAAAAGAAATGTGTAGTGGTTAAAATTTCCAAGCCCAACCTATAGTTCCAGAAATGTTTTTCAGTTTTTATTTGTTGCAAGTGCAAAGGAGATTTCCATATTTTAGAATCCACTGAACTGTGCATTTGAAGAGCTTCCACATAACCTTTAATTGGAAGTGATTGAACTGCTGTATAATGACATGCTAAAAGGCAAATATCAAAGAATTTAATAAAATTCTATAAGTGCTTTCAAAGCAGTGAATATGCTCATTTAAAACCATATGCTTTTAAAAAGGCTTCTGTCATGATTGGAACATGTAGGGCAACTCTCTTCCTTATGCAAAATCCACATCAAGAGATTTTGGAAGCATAATATTTTGGTAGGTGAGCAGCTGGTGATTGTTGATTAAAAAATTTTATGCTTATGGATTGATAGTAGTATTTTTTCATGTATGAAATATATAAAATCTCAGATCATTATTACACATGAGCATTTGCAACCAATTTGGGTGATAAAGAACTGATAAGGAGAACTAACTTTTTTTTTCCTTTTTGGTGCTGTGGATCAAAAAGCGTGCTCTGTGCTTTGTGAATGGTAAGCATGTGCTTTACCACTGAGCTCTGTATATAGCTCTATATACATTAACTTTTTAAATCTCAGTTAAGTAAAATGTTATCTCACTCCCATCCTATTAGTAGACCTTGTATTACCAAAAAAAAATTGTACTCACATATATTTATTTTAAATTTTTGTCAAAAAATTAGTTGAGGGACTGGGGTTGTGGCTTAGTGGTAGAG